GACACGAATCCCAGCCTGCCCGTAGCTGTCCCCAGCATCACCTTTGAGGTCACTGGAGAGCTGTTGCTGCCAGGAGAGAGAGAGAAACAGGACCCCCAGCACTAGGAACTCACAGAGAACATCACCCCAGCCACTGGGTGAGCCACAATCCTTGGGGACTTCTGTTGGGCTCCTTTGCTTCCTTGATTCCTTTTTTTCCTTCTGGATTTTGCTGCGACTTCGGGGTCCCCGAAGGCAACTTCCTCTGGGTGTTTTTTTTTTTTTTTCTTTTCGTGCCGTTTGTGTGTGTGTGTGTGTGTGTGTGTTTTTAACACGTTCGTTGTCGTTTGTGTTTATGAAGCCTTATCTGAAGAACTGGGAATGACCTCCCTGTTCTTCCAAACCTCATCCAAGCCACAGAACTCCCGCCAGTGTCACTGCCACTGCCACCGCCACCCTGGTCCTTCAGGTGTCCCTCGGTTGCATCGTTCCAGCCATCGCTTGCAATAGGTCATGGAGCAGGTCCATGAGCTCTGGTCTTCAACCTCAGCCTGCCCAGGTCTTGAGCTGGTGCAAACAGAGGAGCTGGACACCACCTGAGCTGCTGGGCTGGAGTATTTGGAGAGGTTTTTTAGCAGTGAGTTTGTCTTTCCGTTGCTGGAGGTGGATCCCCACGAGCAAAGGGGGGGGCAAAGAGAAAGGGGCTGCTTGAAAAGGTTTCTGTAGCAGAAACCCCCTCCCTGGCCATCAGTGAGAGGTTATTTAGAGCTTTGTGAGAGCTTATCCCATCCAAAGAGTGGCCGGGGGGTGTTGCCTGAGCACCTGTGGCAATTCCAGTCAGCTGTTGGAACTGGGAGCCCCTGGAGCAGCTCGCTGGGCCCACAGCAGCTGAGAATCTCCTGCACGTGGGCCGAGTGTCCCAGCCTCTCATTCCTGCAGGAATCTGTGCACATATCCATGGGAAGGCCTGGCTGTTCCCCACCTTCTTCAGATTCCTCAGATTTGAGCGACCATCAGCGGTCCTCGAACGAAGGGAGGAGCCCCAGCTTTTTGGGGGCAAGGCAGGGGGGCCTGGAAGTTAAACCACCCCCTGGCACTGGAGAATTCTTGTTTTCAGGGCACGGAGAGTAAATCTGCACCGTTAGATCCCCGTTTCTCCTCAGCTGGAGGGCTGGGCAGTCCCTAGGACTTGGCTCTGAGCACAGGCAGCTTTGCCACCCCCGTTCCCTCCACTCTCTGCCTGCCCTGGCTGCATCTTCTGCTTTCTCTTCTCTTTGTGCTTTGCCACCTACATCGTTTTTCCCGTAGCTGTGAGTATTTTCTTAATAAATGGTGTTTACAGGTTCTTTTAGGAAGAAGAAAAGCTGCGTGAGGGCTTTTTGAAACAAATAACCAAATTTGTTGTCGTGAAGTATCAAAGCTGGGATTTGCAAAGCATCTGGAAGCTACTTAGGTACCCAAACCCTCCCAGCTGCAGCACCTGAT